TCAGAAAGGAAGACTTGAAGACACAGGGAAACCTTTCTATTTTATATTTAGGTGTGATGAAGAATGGACAGTGGGGCAGAAGTATGATTGGACAAAGGGAGTATAATTTAATGGCCATAAACTGGGGGGAATTTAGCAAAGTCTGATTGCCCACATTCTTCTCTGTGTCCCTGTGTTTTCAGAGAGGGGGATGTTTCTTTCTTCCAGCTATACAGAGGGCACCTCTGGAATGACCTACTTTAGAGGAAAGTCAGAATTCTGTGAAGGCCTGTTTCAGGGGAAAAGGGCAGGAGAAGGTCAAAGAAACCTTCCTGCTTCTGCTATTTTCTCAAATGCCAAGGGGCCATATTTTGGGGTAGTGCATCCTAAACCCCATCAGGACTAAATTAAAGAGCAGGTTAAAAGAATTAAACTATTGCTGAGTCATCTTGAAAGGAACAGGGGAATATCAGAATGAAAGAGAGCACAAGAAGAATATCCCAATAGTGTAAGAAGTTCAAAACCTAAGGAAGAGCAATGTTTATGGATGAGTGCCTGGCAAAGGTGTGGACTTTCACCAGGTTTCCAAGCCTTATTAGATGATGAATGAGGCCCAAAGTAGAAATTATCTTGGAATATTGGGGAATCGGAGAAAATTGTAAGTCTGGATATGTAAAGCATTATGGAAGGACTTTAAAGGGCAGCTAGAGGAGTTTAAATTAATACATATTCTCAGAAGTATTTTGATTAAAACAAGAGGAAAAGAAAACCTAAACCATATTAATGCTGTTAGAATCAAAGAAGAAGGGACATATTGGGGGAAAAAATGAACATTCAATTCATTTTGAAAAGGGGAATGGGGGTAGAGATGTTTATTTTATTACATCTAACAATTCAGAGAAGAAATAAATACTGCTAGGGCATTGAGCCTAGAGATGAGCATATATGGTGATCTAGACAGAACTAGGGAACACAGCAATGAGCATAAAAGAGAAAGGTCAGAGCCAGAAATGGATAATTTGGAAAGTTCTGCATAAAAAGAATCTTTCAAGTCAAAGGAAAATAGAATTGCTAAGCCAGGTAAAAAGCAGTGAGGCTGGAAGAAAGCTAAGGCCACTGTTCTGGGGGAGCCCCCATGAACCAAATGCCCCTTCCCACCACCTGTTTTTGTAAATACAGTTTTAGTCCAACATAGCCTTGATCCTTCATTTACATATTGTTTATAATTGCTTTTGCGCTCCAAGAGAAGAGTTGAATAGTTGAGACAGAGACCAAATGGCTGACAAAACATAAAGTATCTGGCCCTTTATAGAAAAAACTTGCCAACCCCAGATAAAAGAGGAGGAGCTACCAGAAAAGATTTGCCAAAAAGGAACTCTGAACCCAAGAAAGTATAGCTGCAAGGAAGTCAAGAGAGAGGAGGATTTCAAAGGAGTAGGTGAAAAGAAAGGATACAGTGGGTGTGGGGAGGATGAGGCTTAGGGAAAAAAATCTTTGAACGTTATGACTAGCAGGTCATTATGTGCCATTCCAAAATATCAATTTCTAGATGGACCAAAACCTATCACAAAATACTCAAGAGATATATTTGTTTCTCCCTTCCTTCCTTCTTTTCTTCCTTCTTTAGCATTAAAACATTGTTTTAGTATGAAAACAATCTATTTTTTTCTGCCTTACTTCCTTCTTTTCTTCCTTCTTTAGTATTAAAACATTTCTTCCTTCTTTAGTACTAAACATTCCTTCTTTTATTCCTTCTAAAATTTAATATTAAACATGTAGCACTGATCCAGGTGCTGTTGGAAGATACCCAAAGACAAGATGTGCATCCATAGAAAGTCATATAGAAAATAGTACTAGAGATGTAACAAGACAATATATGTGAAAATGTAGAATGCCATATGAAATTAAAGAATTTTGCATTAAGGCAATACATTACCACATACCATATACATAGTTTGGACTGAGTGCTTTGCATTCAATGGTTATTGTCAATAAAATGTCAAAGCAGGCTTTGAGAAATTTGGGATTATAGTGTAATTCAGACAGCACAAACAAATTCTTACTACCTTTGTGACCTTGGGACAAGTCATTTAGCTTCTCTTCACTTTACTTTGTTCATCTGTAAAACGGGGAAAAACAACACCCATTCCATAGAACTATTCCTCATATTCACCCTGGCATGTGCATTTCCATTGCATGATTTGCAGGGCTGTATATTATTCATGCTCTGTTGATTGCCTAGCTTCATCTCCCATCTTCCTCACAGCAGTCTCACTTCAGCCACATCACACTGCCAGCAACTGCTTGTCTTCTCAACGTTTCACCAATTCTTCGGTCTTCCTGGAAAGTACTCTCCACCTTGATCGTGTCATGCTGATAAATTTCTACTCCTTCTTAAAGACTTGGCTGAGACATGTCTGCTTTGTGACTTGTCTGTGTTCCCTGAAAAAATTTAAAGCATCATCCTCTGCATTTCCACAGTGCCTCATACTGAAAGCACTTAGACTTAAGTTGATCAAACAATTTATCATCCTAATTGAGACACTTTTAAAAGTGAAAGAGGATGCTACTAGTAATTACACCAGGACAACAGACCTAAACCAGGACTGCCCCAGCAAACTCAGATGCATGGTCACTCACCTTTTCCTTATGTTGAAGTAATAATTATTTACTTGTCTGTCATCTCCTCCCCCCCCCCAACAAAATATACACATATACGCACAATCCTTGAGCCCCTGGAAGGGGATGGCCTCAGCACCTGGCCCAATGACACATAGGAAGCAGTTGATTAATCAATTAACTTATTGATTAAATCATGATGATTTTATTGGAGGAGAACATTATAGCCTGATGAAATGGCATAGAAAAAGAAAAGGAGATGGGAGGGCACGTTTACAAGCAAATAAACTCTCCTGGGTAGAACAGATGTTTGGGGGTTGGAACATAATTTGGGAAAGGATTGTGGAACTCTTGATCCTCAATCAGGATAAGGAATTTTTAACAGTAGGGGAAGGGGAAGGTTAAAGCAAGGAATGACATGAGGATAATGGGTAATTTTATGTAAGATGAATAGGAGGGAGCGGAAAGAAGAGGGAACTGCAGAGACTATTTGGATAAAATATTAAATTATGAAAGCCTGGATTAGGAATATTTGCCATTTCGCATTTTATACTTGGGGACAAAGTCGAGACCATTTAGACTGCAAGTAACAGAAATCCAAATTAGCCTGGTTTAATCAAAAGAGGGAAAATTGGCTGGGTGCGACAACTCAGGCCTGTAATTCCAGCACTTGGGAGGCTGAGGTAGAAGGATCACTTGAGGCCAGGAGTTTGAGACCAGACTGAGCAACAGAGCAAGACCCCATCTCTACCAAAAAAAAACAAAAAAGAATTAGCTGGGTGTGGTGATGCACACCTTAGACCTACTTGGGAAGCTGATGGTGGAGAATCACTTGAGTCCAGGAGTTTGGGGCTGCAATGAGCTAAAAATCATGCCACTGAATTCCAACCTGGGAGACAGTGTGAGACCCTATCTCAAAAGAAAATAAAAGTGGGTAGGAGGGCTGAATTTGTCAGCTCAGCAAGCATAAATATGTAGGCATTGCTGGATCCAGGTCCTCAAACAGTGTCATCTCATTAGGAATCTTCTCTCCTTTTCCTAGTTCTGCTTCTTACTATGTCAGATTCATTCTTAGTCAAGTTCTCCCCAAAATGGTTTTCAGCAACTTTCAACTGAAACACTGCTTTGCCAACAATTCTAGCAAAAATCCTAAAGAAGGTTCTCATTGGATACCTGCCCATTCCTGAACCAGTCACTGTTGGTGCGAGGGATTATGGTCTGACTGGCCAGGGCTCAGTTACATGCCCACTCCAGATGATAGAGTTGGTTTCACCTGAACCAAATAATCTAAGTGTTTGTAGGGGGTGGGGGTTAGGGTTGGGAGGATGGAGGGGTGAGGCACACAGATAGGAGCAGGGATATCTCCCTAAAGGAAAACTAACTTGTTTTGAAAAGAAAGAAAATGGGTATTAGGAAGCAAAACCAGTAATGTTCTCCACATAAAGTCTATGATGTTATTTCACAGTTTGAAGAGAACAGTGAGCTCCTTTAGATCATCAAAATCAAATCACAGAAAAAAAATTGCAAGAGGAAACATAAAAGTAATGATATTCCAAATGAGCAAGAATAAAGATATCTATTTGTTCTGAAATACTTTAGATTACATTTATGCAATATAGTTAAAATATAAGAGCTAAAATATAATTTGTTACCTTTAACCCAATAAATATGTTGTTTATTATAATAGTACATATCTCATGCTTATTATCCATAGAAAACAAAATATTATTTCACCTTTCCATCCAAACTATGAATGGAATAGTACAGAAACTTATGATTACTGATCTTTGAGAAGGCCGTTATGGAGCCAAAGGAGGGTTGAAAAGGACAATTAAAATGGCCCAATTTTTGTTGAATTCTTTATATAGTCTTATTGAGGAACGAATTGATAAAACTCTTCAGTCTGATATGACAAGGTCTGTGGATTTAAGAAACACTCATAAATTTGTTTGTAGAACTGATAGCATAATTCTGGAAAAACTACAAATGTGAATTTTCCCATGGTACAATGTTAGTGTTCCTAGTTGTCTAGATTAAAACAATTTTTTTAGAATGAATGTCTATTATTCTTAAATTAGAAAAAGAAACAAAAAAGTTTCCTTAAGAGAAAGAAGAATTATGACATACAGGGAAACTAGCGTTGACCTTGAAGTGGTGTCATTGTGGTCTTCCTCACAGGTTTTTTTGGTTGTTGTTTTTGTTTGTTTGTTTTTCCATAAATATCCATGAATATCTCAGAAACAACATTGAGTTGGATGGACCATTGATTTGAAATAATGTGGTAATTCTCTGATTATGTAAATATTATTAAAAACCATTTCCACAGCATTATGCTAGTGTACGTAATAAGAGTTTCATCATATTCACTGATACCTTACTAAATCATTTTGATTCCTTTCAAGAACGTACCTTTCAAGAACAAGTTTCTGACACAGAAAATAACCTGAACCAAGGACCCAGCTTGGTGGAAGCCATCTTTAAAATATTGTACCATTGCAGTTTTTCTCCACAAACATTTGCAAATATTTTTGTGAGCTACATGGAAGAAGAGCAATTATGGGACTTTTTATATAACATCCCAGGTATGAGACATTTACTATTTTTAAAAGAAAAGTTCTATAGATACTTAAATGTACCTTTAGAGATGTTTAGAAGTTGTATTGATATTGATTTTGCTGAATCTGTTGTTTGTGAAAGTTTACCTTACATTTTTTCAGTATAAAGCCTTCTGTTGGGAATCATTAATTATTAGTTCCCGTAAAATTTCATATACTTTGGGACAAGATGCAAGGGAGGTTGAAGGGAAAAGATTTTCTTATTTTATTAATTAGGGAATGTTCTGTCATAAAAATTTATTTTAATATTTATCACAGATTATGTTTTGCTATTGAGCATATAAGATATTAGTAAGATGTGAAAAGTATTTTGTGATTCTTGGGTGTATTTATTCAGCAAATTAATGGACAATACTATTGGTCAATTTTCTTCAGATGTATAAGGCATTTATTATTATGACCACAGTGCGCCTCTCTACAAGGCAAGCATATCCTGTGATTCCTTTGGAGAGAATATATTTTTCCCATCTGTATTGTTCTTCTTCCTTCAGCTACAGAGAATAATAAAGGCAGTGCAGGTTGTATGTTTGAACAGAAGGTTTTGATGGGTTGCCCCACCCTCTGGCCAGTGTAAAAATCTCACATTGTCTTATCCTTAATATTCTTCCTCTAAATTTTCATATTTAATATCTTGGGAAAACAAAGGATGAAAACTTACACAATGATTTTTATTATTATCCTGCTATTCAAATAGTGATTTTTATCATTTACATTTAGTTTTCAACCTATAAACTTTCTTTTATCCTGCTTTGGAACCTGAATTTTCGTAAAATATTTCCTAGGCTTCATATAAAATATCTAACTAGTTCATAATCACGGTTTCACTCCTCCCAGACTTTTTGACTATCCTCCAGATATTACTTGAATATCATTCTAGCTGTTTTAAAGTCATTATGTTTCATCTTCTCTTGGTCATTATCCCTATAAAATAGTAATAGATAACTTTATGTTATGATTTCCAAAATCCAAATCTGTCATTTAAAGTTTCTGTAATAATGATCTCCTTTTAAAATGTTATCTCCTAGTTGCCATGCATTCCCTTACTGCTTCTTGCTTCCTCAAAGGAAGGGCATATTTCTAGGTAAAAAGGCTGAATTAGAAGCTTGTTGTGTTTCTGACGTAGTCTTTACTGAATTGAAAGAAAAACGACCTTGAAAATTCTGCCACCTTCTACTGTTTTTAGTTGTTTCTGGGGAAGTAAGAGCTAGATTTTCTCACAAGATTATAAAGAATCGGTGACCCTCATGCTTCAACCACGATTTATCCTTCAACTATTAGGTTCCTGAACCATCTTTGACACTCAGCACAAAACTATACTGAAAATGACCTAGAAGATATAAATGGATTTCTGGTGCTGCTAGCGGAAAATAAAACTGTTTCTTGCTCCTAATTTGACATCTCTCTATCTACATATTGAGCAAACCCTCCCCCACATGGTCAGACAAGTCTCAGGAAACAGACGTTGTACATATTCATAGAGCCTGAATTATGTGTGAAAGCTCAAAGCGGCAGAACTTCAAATGGGTGAAACTCCCTCACCCTTTGTACAAGTTGTTGCTCCATAAACATTAAATATTCTCAAACCTGATACCTGCAGTGGTCATGAGGGTCTGAACTTTTCTCTTTTCTCTCCCATTTAAGTCTTTGAAAAGGTCTTTTTTTTTCTTCTGTTAGCAATCGTGGTTATTTTAAAAACCCTAGTAAGATAATAGAAGGTACTAATTCATAACAAAATTAAGCCTTTTACTATGACTTTTGTTTAATTTGAAAACATAACATGTTTACAAGAAATACAGCTAAGACATGTAATCATAATCCCACAATATTTACATTTTATTACTAATAGATCTATTCTTCAGTAAATATAATTAATCTACTCAGATTAACTAAAGTACGTTATTTTAAAACTTCACTGCTGTAGTTTCCTCATACTAAATCACTGTCTATGATTTCAGCATAGTTTACCCATAAAACATCACCGTCTTATCATTTTAGGGTAAAACGACAAAGATGAAGTGGTCAGTATCTTCATCTTATTGTTAAATAAACAAAAAGCAGAAATATTAAGAGAATTGCCTAAGACTGTCCACCAATTAAGTTGGACAGACTCAGCACAAGAAACCAGATCTCCTCTCTCCTAAGCCAGCAGTCCCCAACCGTTTTGGCACCAGGGACCGGTTTTGTGGAAGACAATTTTTCCACCAGGAGGGGGATGGTTTCAGGATGAAACTGTTCCACCTCAGATCATCAGGCATTGGTTAGATTCTCATAAGGAGCAACCAACCTAGATCCCTCGCATGCGCAGTTCACAATAGGATTTGTACTCCTATGAGAATCTAACACACTTCTGATTTGTCGGGAGGCGAAGCTCAAGCAGCAATGCTCACCCACCTGCTGCTCACCCCCTGCTGTGTGGCCCGGTTCCTAACAGGTCACAACCCAGTACTGGTCTGCAGTCTGGGGGTTGGGGACCCTGTCCTAGGCCATGTTATTTCTCATTTTTTTCTACTGGACTAAAGTTTTTGAGACACTACTTTTATGAACATATGAATTCAGTAATGAATTATACAATCTGATTTTATACTTAGAATTCCATCTAACACATAACTCCTTAGACTGGACATAAGCTAGGGAGGGACGACAAGAAGGAATATACCCACTTAAGATTACTACAAAACCTATAAACACAAAAAATAATTAAGTCAGAGACCTAATGTGGGTGTTTCTAGGGCCAATGCACTCTATAATAAATAGATTTGCTAACAATCATTGGACACCTGAGTCTTCAAAGTAGATCAAGCATTATTCAGTTAGACAAATGCAAATATCAAAGCATACATTACCTCAACTGGTTTTTAAAACAATGTCAGAACAGGCTTGTAAATGAGGCAAATACTGTCAAAAATGCCCGTCTAATATGACAGTAATATATTCAACAAGTATTGTTCACTTGGCTCCTTGATATGGCATTGGGCTTACTTTCGTTTTCCGAATCAGTTTTCTTCACTTTCTCACAACCTTTGGGAAAAAAAACTTTCAATAACCTAGCAAAATTTCTCAATTAAAGGTTAAGATCCAAAGTTTCCACTTTGGTTTTCTACTCCTCCTCAACCTCATAAAGACCTTTAAGAAGAGTTGTTTAGAGAGTATATATATGCTATATTGCCTTCTTGTTGCCAAAATTAATATACAGTGCCTTACCTTCCTATCAGACACAGTGATTGTCTCTATTACCTACATAAACACCTGCAGCATAGTATAGGTAGATTTTAAATGTAAGCTTTCACATATTGAAAGGCTGTCTTTGTTCTATGTTGTAACTAACCATTTATTCTCATCCTTTTGTCACCATTCAGTTTGTTTGCAATTCACCTTATGCAGCTGGAAACCATCATTCTTTTTTTTTAATTTAATTTTATTTATTTATTTTTAAAATTTATTTATTATTATTATACTTTAAGTTGTAGGGTACATGTGCATAACGTGCAGGTTTGTTACATATGTATACTTGTGCCATGTTGGTGTGCTGCACCCATCAACTCGTCATTTACATCAGGTATAACTCCCAATGCAATCCCTCCCCCCTCCCCCCCTCCCCATGACAGGCCCCGGTGTGTGATGTTCCCCTTCCTGAGTCCAAGTGATCTCATTGTTCAGTTCCCACCTATGAGTGAGAACATGCGGTGTTTGGTTTTCTGTTCTTGTGATAGTTTGCTAAGAATGATGGTTTCCAGCTGCATCCATGTCCCTACAAAGGACACAAACTCATCCTTTTTTATGGCTGCATAGTATTCCATGGTATATATGTGCCACATTTTCTTAATCCAGTCTGTCACTGATGGACATTTGGGTTGATTCCAAGTCTTTGCTATTGGAATAGTGCTGCAACAAACATACTGTGCATGTGTCTTTATAGCAGCATATTTATAATCCTTTGGGTATATACCCAGTAATGGGATGGCTGGGTCATATGGTACATCTAGTTCTAGATCCTTGAGGAATCGCCATACTGTTTTCCATAATGGTTGAACTAGTTTACAATCCCACCAACAGTGTAAAAGTGTTCCTATTTCTCCACATCCTCTCCAGCACCTGTTGTTTCCTGACTTTTTAATGATCGCCATTCTAACTGGTGTGAGATGGTATCTCATTGTGGTTTTGATTTGCATTTCTCTGATGGCCAGTGATGATGAGCATTTTTTCATGTGCCTGTTGGCTGTATGAACGTCTTCTTTTGAGAAATGTCTGTTCATATCCTTTGCCCACTTTTTGATGGGGTTGTTTGTTTTTTTCTTGTAAATTTGTTTGAGTTCTTTGTAGCTTCTGGATATTAGCCCTTTGTCAGATGAGTAGATTGCAAAAATTTTCTCCCATTCTGTAGGTTGCCTGTTCACTCTGATGGTAGTTTCTTTTGCTGTGCAGAAGCTCTTTAGTTTAATTAGATCCCATTTGTCAATTTTGGCTTTCTGCTGTTGCTTTTGGTGTTTTAGACATGAAGTCTTTGCCCATGCCTATGTCCTGAATGGTACTACCTAGGTTTTCCTCTAGGATTTTTATGGTATTAGGTCTAACATTTAAGTCTCTAATCCATCTTGAATTAATTTTCATATAAGGAGTAAGGAAAGGATCCAGTTTCAGCTTTCTACTTATGGCTAGCCAATTTTCCCAGCACCATTTATTAAATAGGGAATCCTTTCCCCATTTCTTGTTTCTCTCAGGTTTGTCAAAGATCAGATGGCTGTAGATGTGTGGTATTATTTCTGAAGACTCTGTTCTGTTCCATTGGTCTATATCTCTGTTTTGGTACCAGTACCATGCTGTTTTGGTTACTGTAGCCTTGTAGTATAGTTTGAAGTCAGGTAGCGTGATGCCTCCAGCTTTGTTCTTTTGACTTAGGATTGTCTTGGAGATGCGGGCTCCTTTTTGGTTCCATATGAACTTTAAAGCAGTTTTTTCCACTTCTGTGA